TTACACACCTATTGCTCACTCTCTCATAAATAGCCACACTCCACTATTGCATTTCAATTGTGCTACTTCTCACCCCGTTGCTTGATTTCTATCACCTACATAGCCCTTCCTATTGTGTTTTATACCCCACCTCTTCTAGAGTGCAAGGGTTTTCGAGCACAGCTGGTCTTCATCAACCTATTGCTCCTGTAACATTTTGTAATTGTCTTATCTATTGTGAAATTTCCCCCTTGATAATATTCTAAAGCACTGCAGAATATGTTGGCACTATATAAATTCCGATAATAATAAAAATTCTAAAACAATTTATATGTGCACGTACTAAACTTGTAGTCAAAAGAACTTCAATATTGAATAAGAAGATGCTTAGAGGACAGCAGTTCCATCTGTATGGATGCCTGATCCAACTTGATTTCCAAGAAACTTGCCTATTGTATATACTAGTTAGCCAAATGCTAAAAAAAAGCTTTATACCATATTATTATTATTAACATATATAAGAGGAATCCAGATAGCACTCTCAGGACTGTTGAATCAAATAAAACTTAGCTTTTAATGAGCTTATAAAAAAATAATCGACGTTTCAGTCTGTTAAACACAGACTTTCATCAGGACTAACAAATACAATACAGTAACTCACCCAAATACATATTAACAATCAACTTACCCACCACCGGAATAATTGCCTCTCCTTGTCAGCCCGGTCCGGATCTCGCGTGGGTTCGGCCAACGTCAGTGCGTGCGTCCATGACGTCATTACGCAGCGCCGGCGTCATTACCTCATCACGCGAGCGGCCGATCGGCAGCATCATAGGGAGGTTGTTGCTATGTAGAGAATCCTCATAGCAACCTATGTCTAAAACAAAACACAAAGGCTAGGAATCCGAACGAATTCATATATATCTAATTCAATCATAATAGATGCAGTTATACAGGAGCCCCCACTAGGCTTTAATCCATGAAGGATATTTTTTCTATAAACTGTATAACCCTTGAGGAAAAGGACCCAGTTAAAGACTGAGTAATTGAAAAACAATTCCTAACTATATATCTGTAACTATATTAGCTATATGGTAATAAGCATATTTAAAAAAAAAAAATCTAACGAAATTATTAAAGACTAAAAAAGGAAATATGTTATTAATCGATCTAGCTTATATTAAAGGGGCCCCATGGAACTAGTACTACTGCCAATATGCTTCAAATCACCCTTTTAGTATTTTATAAGGTATAGCGCAAAAAAGCATGCCATTATAAAGAAAAATATAATACCAAGTAAATGCCACAGAATGTACAGAAAAAGCATAATATACATAGCGAGGAGGATTAAACCTATTGCCCTATTACCTATGACATCATTACGCAGCGCCGGCGTCATTACCTCATCACGCGAGCGGCCGATCGGCAGCATCATAGGGAGGTTGTTGCTATGTAGAGAATCTCTATAGCAACCTATGTCTAAAACAAAACACAAAGGCGAGAAGGATTAAACCTATTGCCAATCCTCCTCGCTATGTATATTATGCTTTTTCTGTACATTGTGTGGCATTTTCTTGTGACCAAATGGCTACTAAAAAAGACTGGACATACCCCATTTGCAGTACCTTGGGTTGTCTACTATTGCAAATGGTATGCCATTATGGGTGTAAATTTAATTCCTGGGCTACTATAAAGTCCCAAAGGCAACGTAACCAATCTAGCGAATTTCAATTTCAAATGTAACGTGCTATATTTGACCCTGTAACTTCCCAAAACGCCATAAAACCTGTACATAGGGGGTACTGTTTTACACGTGAGACTTTGCTGAATACAAATATGTGTATTTTATTGAAGTAAAAGCAAACAGTATTATGACATTGACAGTTAAAATGTCATGTAGAACTAAAAAAATCAAAATAAATCTTATTTTCTCCCATTTTTTTCATATTAAATTATGTTTCATAGCTAAATATTTGATATTAAATGGAAACCCTGTTTCCCCTGAATAAAATGATATATAATAAGGGTGGGTGCATTTAATATGAAAGAGGTGAATTACTGTTGGACAGACATGTAGCGCAAATGCCAGGTTTTGTTTACATTTTGTTTTGTTCACAACGTGTACATATGGCTCCGTCCTTAAGTGGTTAACAGACTGAAACGTCGATTCTTTTTTATAAGCTCATTAAAAGCGAAGTTTTATTTGATTCAACAGTCCTGAGAGTGCTATCTGGATTCCTCTTTACATTTTGCATGACAAGCACCGGGCAAGTATATTCTAATTATATGGAGTGCAGGATTATTTTTCTGCATATTTTTACATGTGGGGAGATGTGATGCAAAGAGGGGCTGGGGAAAAGGCAAAAGAGACAGACAGGGGCTTGGGTGGGAGATAACCAGAGGGGCTGGGGAGACACAAAGAGACACAGAGAGACTGGGGAAGGGACGAAAGAGACAGAATGGGGCTTAGGAGAGAGAAACCTAGAGGGCTTAACTAAACCATTAGATATTAGTCATGTAGACTAATTCTCAAGTAGATTTCGTCAACATGACTAAAACGAAAACTAAAACAATCCAGATGACTAAAGTACAACTAAAACTAAAATGTATTTTTAGTCAAAAGATGATGATGAAAACTAAATTGAAATTTGCTGTCAAAATTAACACAGCTGATTATCTATTATTTTAAATCTGCATCCACCAGACTGATAAAAAAATACACAGAATAACAGAACATAGATATCCCGAGCTGTGTTGTGCCACACTGTTTTTTGTTGTCCTGGCATCACTTTTTAAATTGATTGTTATGTTGTTTTGGTAATTAAAAAAGTGATAACTCTAGGTCGAGGATAGGGTAACTGTCGGACAAACATAAAATGAGTCATTGCAGAACAAATGTTTTTCTTTCAGGTGTGATCACACTCCTTGCATTAACTTTCACTCTAACCTTTCAAATCAATGTGAGGAATGTGCAGTTCATCAGCTCAGTCTTGATGACATACCAATAGTTAAATTACACTTGCAGCAAAAAAAAATGTTCAGTTAAATTGCTTGTATTGGATGGTAACATACAATTAGAAGGCTTATTCAACAATAAAGCAATGGCAGGTGAAATCATCCTTTGTATGAAATTTCCCCTATTTGTTATCCATCTCTGATTACAGAAGATCTTTTTTTATTTCTGTTAATCACTTTAAAATGTGGAAAAATGGAAATATTGAATTGCATGCTTCTTAGAGTTTTGTGTGGACATGTGTGCTCTGTCATATTGCAGGACAATTTTTTCACATTTTATATAGCGGTGACATTTGGAATATTTAACAGGTAACTAACAGACAAAAATAATGTTAACAAACACAAGAAGTGAAAAGGGATTGGCTCAAATGAGCTTATAATCTAAAATGTAAAGCTTGCAAACTTCCATATCTTAGAGCACAGTTGGAGAATTAGAGATTATGCACTAAACATCAAACAGTAGTAAACTGAAAAACAAATTGCAACATTTTTGCAAAAAGTGCTTATTTCAAAATATTCTCCAAAAAGCCTAGTGGTCTATATTCTTGCTTGATTATTAGCTTCTAATTTTTAAAATGTAATTTCCAATTCCCTACAATTTAATGTTTGATGAATAAATTCCAGACCTAGTCGAAACATAGAAACTTAGATTTTGGAAACAGGTAAAACCTAAAACGACCCATCAGGTTTGGCATCTCATAACTAATGGCTTAATTCTTTATTCTGATTCCCCAGTGAACACAACAATTTGTCTTACAGGAAAACTCCACATACCATAACCACTACAGTGAACTGAATTGATTGACTTTTTACCTGGAATTGATGGGAAGGGATAACTCCTCACCTCTCTGCACCCTCTGCTAATTCCCTCAGCTAATAGGCTGGCAAGATGCTGGTGGTGGTAGCTTGCTGACTGCAGGTAAAAAGTCAAACCATTCTGAAATCATTTGACTACTATTGCACCCCTGGCACCATAAGCACTACAGCACTATGTAGTGGTTATGGTGCTTCGAGTAATCTTTTAAACCCTTATGAGTATTTTCTTTCTAACTTTAGAGAATGTGATATGCTAGATACCTTCTTTACATTAAAAAATGCTTTGATTACTGAAATGTAATTCAACATAGAAATCAATGGGTCCTGTTTTTCTTCCATTGTTAGTACATCTAAAATATACTTAAAGGGTACCTGAGATTCTAGGTGCAACTTATGCTCTTGTTTGAGAGCACACAAGTCTGTCTATAAATTTATCGATTGAGAGAAAAATCTAATGTAAAATAGGTCTTTCTCCCACCTGTCAATCCATTCTTCAACATTGAGTGACAAATAGGTGGTCATTCTGCTCTTCAAGTGTGGTAACTCTCTAGTCAATGTTGAGTTACCACACTAGAAGTAGATAAGTATTTGTTTGATCTAATTGTTATATATTATTTTTGGTGTAGGGTTTGCTGTATACATATACAAGTAATGATTTAAGTGAGAATTTTTTTATTTTAATTATCAAGAAACAAAATATGGTAGGAAGGAAAACATAAGAATTAAATCAAACCTGTCATGACAGGTTGACTTTGACACAAATTCCCCTACAAATTCATTGTTAGTGCTGGCTGGGGAATATATGAACCGAGTGACTTTTGTCGCAATGAAGCCAGCTTCTCAGTGTCACAAAGGAGGTTTGTGCTACTCAGAGACACAAGCAGTGGGGCACAGGCAGACCAGAGGTTGGTGTTATACCTCACAGTCCTACCCTGAACATATAATGTATCTTTGTGATATACACCCTGTTCCAAATTATTATGCAAATTCTATTTAAGTGTCACAAAGATTAAATATTTTGTTTTTCAGTTTAACTCATGGATGGCATTGTGTCTCAGGGCTCTTTTGATCACTGAAAACAATCTCGGACACCTGTGATAATTAGATTGCCAGGTGAGCCCAATTTAAGGAAAAACTACTAAAGGAGGGTTTCCACATTATTAAGCAGAGCACCATTTTCATGCAATATGGGGAAGAAAAAGGATCTTTCTGAAAAGAGTGAAATAGTACAATGTCTTGGACGAGGTATGAAAACATTAGATATTTCACGAAAACTTAAGCGTGATCATCGCACTATTAAGAGATTTGTGGCTGATTCAGAGCACAGACGGGTTCGTGCAGATAAAGGCACATTGAGGAAGATTTCTGCCAGATCCCTGCATCGGATCAAGGGAGCAGCTGCTAAAATACCATTACATAGCAGCAAACAGATATTTGAAGCTGCTGGTGCCTCTGGAGTCCCACAGATCTATGAGGGTGGGAGGCAGTTTACATCCAAACAGCAGCTCTAAGAGGCTATTCTGACATCTTGCAAACAAATTCAAGCAGAAACTGTCCAAAGATTCACAAGTTCAATGGATGCAAGACTTGTGAAGCTGCTATCAAACAAGGGGTCCTATGTTAAAATGTAACGTGACCTGTTAAAATGTTTAAAAAGTTAAAATGTTGTTATAAGTTTGATTAAAATAGCTTTTGATTTCAGTAAATATGCTGCAAACACAACAAATGACAATTTTCAGTTCTTTACAACCTAGAAAGTGTTTTGAAACTTATTGTGCGTAATAATTTGGAACAGTGTATTGTAAGATTTTCATGTTTAAAAAAAATACTGTTATCATTAGGAGTTTTGTTCAATAAAATTTGAATTGTACTCTTTTTAGTTGATAACATAAGAATTATGTTGACTGTTATTTACAGCAATTATCTAGGTAAATGAGAAAAATATAATTTGCATAATAATTTGGAACAGGGTGTATAACTCATTCAATAAATTTGTAGGGGAATTTGTGTCAAAGTCAACCTGTAATGACAGGTTTGACTTAATTCTTATGTTTTCCTTCCTATCATATTTTGTTTCTTGATAATTAAAATACAAAATTCTCACTTAAATCATTACTTGTATATGTACACAACAAACCCTACACCAAAAACAATATATAACAATTAGATCAAACAGATACTTATCTTAAAAGTAAAAATCTCCCAGGTCGTGATCTCGTATTATTGAAATATAGAGAACAAGTGGGATACACCTGATGTACCTAATAAAATAAAAATAAGTAACATAGTGTGATATCACAAGAACAGAGAAATATGCAGACCGTCTCAATTATATGAATGAAACTTACTGCATTGACTGGAAGAAATATATCTATGTATAGTGCGATGTTCCAAATATAGAACCTGGCTATTAGAAATAATATGGTCAGAGACCCTAATTAAACAAAGTATATACAAATGAACCTACAATCCTATGCCAGCCCAGGGTGGTATAGATCAAGAGGTAGTAAAAAAGATAACCTCACTCCCCCTTATAATTAAGCTTTATTGCGATCTGCTATAGGGATAGGAGTATACAGTAGCTAAGTCTCTATAATCCATGCATCCTAGGAAGTATCCTGGTCACACTAGAAACATATTAAGAAAAACAGAGAGAGATAAGGACTGAAAATAGAAGTAAAAAAATCAGTCAAAACCAGACTGATAATTAGCATTAATAAAGCCTCTCTCCCTGTAAAGCTAGCTAGATAGGCATAGGAAAGAAAAGAAGAAAACGATATAAAATAAAGTTAAATTAGATGGTGATCATGGTGCTCCAAACACCAGTGCCCAGTGCAGAAAAAACGCCCAACGTACGTTTCGGTGCAGAGAGATGCACCTTCGTCAGCCCCTTTTATATTTGGGGTTAAGCCCCTCTGAGACAGCTGGAGTCTCATACTGGTACGTTGGTCTCTGCGTGACCCCTGCAGCCATTCCCCCCTTTTGGGGAGGTTTTGAGGTGGTGGGTGCGGCGGCTATACAGGGACTTGGAACGTTGTGTTCCTTGTTCTCTTTTTTAGTGTGATATCATCAAATCTGTAATTGGTAGTAGGCATTAATAGCACATTTATTAGCAAAATTGTATCAAAATAATATAAAAACGGCAGGTCCTACGCGTTCAGTTCCTAACATATGACCTTCCTCAGGGACCGCAAATTAATAAAAGATAATTATGAAAAATATCCAGTATACAGCAGAATACCTTCCACCACCCCTTAAATAGAGCTAGTCCCAGGTGGTTCAATGGTGATGTGGTGGGCGTTCTTGATTTCTTCTTCCCTGATTGGTCCTGTGATAAAGGTATGTACCTGTCCTAGATTCTGTAATTATATCTCCCCTTTCTTCCAGCAGTAGTCGGTCTATTCTCTGAATTTTCGTGGGCATTCATTTCAAGGCGCACTTCCACGCTTTCCAATACTGACCTGCCTTACGTCCGTTTAACATGGCGGTGCATTCTAGTGTGGATGTGATAGGAATGAAATATGAAAATAGACAATCACCCCCTGGTATTCGCCCATTCAAACTACTTTAAAATATGTGAATTATCTCTAATAAAGGACAATAAAGTGAAATATTTTTTTGTGAAGTAATCAAACATTAACAAAATGAAATTTCATAACCAGTGCAATTTATTTAAAAGTGCAATACTTCTTTATATGTTAATATATAGCTTTATACTTTTGCTTCCAAATTCTATATGAAAGTGATTCTATTTAGTGATACTACACCAGAAACTAAAATAAATTATATATTCCCTGCAACAAATACAACATTATCATTTTTCACATATACCTATACAATAATATACCTCTAAAAAAGTATTAATCATTTTCAAAGACTCATAAAGACTCATAAATTATGCAATTTTACATATATATATATATATATATATATATATGAGAAACACATCTGCAACAAGCAGAGAGATTCAATTTTTTTTAAATGTTTTAATATCAATAAGGACAAAATAGTCATAGTAAAAATAAAATGTATAAATGTATACACATCTAAAAATAAAGAATAATAAATGATAAATAATAAATAAAAAATACAAAAAATAGTAGTAGATAAATAAAATAAATAAAATTATATATTTTTTTATGTTTACATTTTATTTGCTTGTTCTTACAATACAATGATAAAGAAAAAACATTCATCAACAATAGCGTACTAGAATAGTATACCACTGGGAGTCGTCATTTACATAATGAATGGTACACAGGTAGCCTTGTGCATTCAATTTCAAGCAAATTCAGATTTATCAGAGTTTTGGGCAGGTTGTCTGAATTCTGTAACCTTTGCAATATTGGTTCTGGCTGCAATTAAAATTTGAAGAATTAGCTATTAGTGTGTTTATAGGGTATGTTCGGTAACATATACAAAAAGAAAACACTGCTGGGTAAAGGCTACTGAGTGCCAGTAATGTCTAAAATACAGGACATTAAATATGTCCAATATAATACAATAGTGGACATTTCAAGAAAAACATGAAGCATGGCTCTCAACTCCAGTAGAGATGTCAAGCAAAATAGTACATGCTTGCTAGTCTTGCAGGGACTAGATATCAAAGAATAAACATTCACCTGCTAGCTTCCCAGTGTGATAAACATTTTGAAACTATGGTCACAGCAGTTTTCAAAGGTTACATTGTTCCATAGTTACAAAGCTAAAAAGAGACATCCATCTAGTTCTTTCTCACATCTGTTTTTTGCTGTTGATCCAAAAGAAGGCAAAAAAAAACCCAGTTTGAATTGCTTCTTATTTTGCAACAAACTAGGAAAATATTCCTTCTGGACCCCATAATGGCAGTCAGGTATCAACTTAGACCAAGAAGCTATTACCCCAAAATTTAAAAAAAAAATTACATCCCTGAATATTATGTTAGGTGTCAGAAGGTATGTTTTAGCTTGGATTACCACTGAACATAGTAGGTGGGGGTCGCTGAAGCCAGAGCCTAAATAATTGCATGACATGTGAAAAGGGGTCCAATATGTGATTTTATTCCTAACCAATTGATGTAAAATGAGAATGATGTAGTAGACTGACAGCTAAACACATTAAGATATTATTGGTGTAAAGGTAGATAAACAGGTCTGTCTTTAGGGTAGAGTGTATTTGCCTGAATTGTACATTGTACAGCGCTACGGAATTTGTTGGCGCTCTATAAATAATAAAATAATAATAATAATAACTGTGGGAATGGGATGATTGCATTGAGAGAAATCAGTTGCGGTTTATGATGAAAGCCTGTCAAGACCCAACTTTGTGCCAGGAGATCTGGACACAACAGATACACTAATATAATGGCGGCAGTATAGGAAACTAACATTTCCATAGTTTGAGGGTATGTTGCGTTGTAAGCAACTAACCTGAGGTAGGTAGCCATCGAAAATATAATTTCCCTGTTTTATTTTATAATATGCTTATTTACTCCTCTACGTTTAATAAATATGTATTTGTGAGGCTTGAAAAATGAGAAATACATACCTCTTTGTCATGCAATTGGGTGTCTTCATCTAACGTCTCTGTCCGTCATTGTTATAAGCTCTTTCTTCTCTTCATTTGTAATGTTTGCTTTGGCTTTGCCTTGTATGGACTGGATTATGATCTAATTTGTTAAATCTTTAATATAAACTTAAAAGTAATAGATCTTATTAAAAGAAGTTAGTGCACATTATAGGTTTTTAATGTTTTATTAAATTAGATAAATTCCAGTGATGTGAAAGTTTTCCTTTAAACACTAATATTTTTTTTTATAAAAAAAAAAAAGAACAATCTTTACCATTGTTTTAAATGAACAACTCTGAACACACATTAAGAAATTGCTACTGAGCTATATCCTTCTTAAAATACAAGAAATAAATGCTTTTATTGTACAAAAATTTGACTTTTCTTATTAGGATCTCAAAGGGAATCCAGGTGAATTAATTAGTGTCTTAGTCATATATTGAGGTCCATATCAACTCTGAAAATACAGGAAATGCCTGTCAACCAAGTTTTGGAACCAGCCTCGTGAAAATAAATAAATCCCTTTTTAATATGTGTTTATATTCCCCCAGGCTTATAGAATTGTTTTAGGTATTGAGAGGCAAATGCTAATTGTGATGTTGGTCCCACTACTTGAGGTTTGATGTTTCATCTGGGTTGATGGCCCATGGGATCATGCACATTATGATTGACCAGGTAGGGAGATCATTAGTTCTTCTCTCATCATCCCATTATGAGGAGCATTGCAGGTATGGTTAATGATCACAAAATACTATCTGATATAAAAAAAAAAAATCTTAAATATGCATCCACTTTACAACAACCCTCCACATTGTGTGGGGTACATTACATGTATTAATAAAAAT